TATATATATTCGATGTAATGGTTGTGTTTACTTTGATTACTATGATGCAATTGTTGTGATACTACATATGACGTCCTCCACCCCCGAACATTTTCGCCATTTCAGTTTGGGGGTATGACATCTTGGCTGGCCTCTATACGAGCCCCCAAGTCCCCAAAACCATAGAAATCGTCCTTTGGCCTTCATGGTGGCATTTTGAGCTCATGGTGTCCATTTTTTGTGTGTTTGGTCCATTTCCAAGAAGATAGAGTTTGGTGCAAGGATTGGAATCAAGGAAGAGCTTATGGATCTTGCTTATGTGTCTCATTTCCAGCTTGTTGGAGGTATAAAGCTTTGAACTTGATCATTGATGTCTTAGATCTATCATTTATGAGTTTTGGTTCATTTTGGTCCCAAGAATGAGATCTAGTGGTCTTGATTCCACTCCAGGAACTTTGAGTTGCCCCTCTTAGTGTTTCTGAGGTTTAAGGTCCACAAAGTTGGAACCTTTAGAGTTTAAAACCATCCATGTTTGATTTTGGGTCCTTTTCATGAAAGTAGAATGCTACACTTTAAGATTGGGTCTTCTTGTGGCATGCAAAGTCACCAAGTCAGTGACTTTATGGTTCTAGACGTTCATTTAGAAGTGTATCTGTGGTTTGGACTTAAGGGATCAAGAATTAAGAGCTTAATCAAGGTTTTGGCTTAATGGAGGAGTACGTTGGGCGTACAAGTCTGTATGCGCAGCGTACAAGCCAAACAGCCTATACGCTTAGTGTACAGCTGAGTACGCCCTGCGTACTCAGTCAGGGGAAGTTTCGTTGTTGGGCTTCGATGTGGGCCATCTGTTGAGATTATGTGTCTGGGGCCCTGTTGGTAAATCAGGTTTTGGTCCGATTGTGAGTTTGAGAAGGCCCACGAAGGGCATTGGGCCCAATTTGGAAAATTGGGCCATGATTTGGGCAACGAGTGGTTTTTGGTATTTTGAGCTTGAGTGTTTAAGTTATTAATGGGCCATCGGAATACAAAGTGTTTTGGACTAGAATGAATGGTTGGGCCTTAAGTTAAGGCCCATGTAAGGGGTTTGGGCCCGATTTGGAAAATTGGGTCATTAGTTGATTAATTGGCCTTTGGGCCTTTCAGATTGTAAGCTTGGTTCTTAGTTTGGACAAGGCTAGGTTAGGGGTAAAATGGTCTTTTTACCCTAGGTATGAAGTAGTGGTTATGGATTGGAACCCAATTGTTAATTGGGTGTTGTTTTGCTATTGATAGTTCGTGGATCTACCAGCCAGCAGCCAAGAGTGTTTTTGAATGATTCAGCAGTGCGAGGTGAGTCTTCTCACTATATCCATGGGTTGAAGGCACCAATGTTGGCCTGTTACTTGTTATGTGATATGCTAGTTGTCTCTGTCAAGGGCGGAGATTTATTAGGGGGGGGGGGCTGTGGCCCCTGCTGATTTTTTGGTTAGAAATAGCCCCTCTACTTTAATTTTATACATATTAGGCCCAAAAATATAAAATTTTGGCTGTGGCCCCCCTGTTCACCGATTTTTATACATATTATATTCCCCCCCCCCCCAAATCAAATGTTGAAGCTCCGCCCCTGGTCTCTGTGATGCTTGCATGGAAGACCCCGGGGGGAGCCCGTAACATTTGAATATAAGAACATGCGGGGAAGCCCATGGCATTCCAGACAAAGACCATGGGGGGAGCACATGGCATTTCCGATAAACACCATGGGGGGAGCACATGGAATTTCCGATAAAGACCATGGAGGGAGCCCATGGCAATTATTTGTATGTTGCATGTAGACCTGACAATTCTAGACACGAATATACGAATCCGTGAGAGACACGACACGACACGAATACACGACACGAATACATATTGAAAATTAAGATAAAGCTTATTTCTCATCGTGTAATCGTATCATGTCAAATTCGTGGCTGACACGTTTTCATGACACGAATACACGAATTGCCAGGTCTAGTTGCATGATAACCCGTGGTTGTATGTTGTATGGTATTTTGAGGAACTCACTAAGCTTGCGCTTACGGTTTTTAGTTTATATTTCAGGTACTCTAGTTTTCAATTGGAAGGGCTCGGGATGATTGCAGAGCACACACCACATGTTTCCGCTTTTTGTGAATTAGTCTGTTTTGTCGATGTTTTGCTAAAACATAATTACTTTGGTTTCATGGGAAAGACATGTACTAACGATTTATTAAACTAAAAACAAAATTGTTTATGTCATGATTTTTGGGGCGTTACACAGGGGCTCTGGCGTTATGTTGTCGGCAAAAGAGAGTATGAAGAACAAGAGATTGTGAGGAGTTAAGGAGTGAGGGTAGGAGGGTTGGATGGGTGGGTTTTGTTTAGTACATATTTAAATAATAATAATAAAACAAATTTTAAAAATGAAAAAACAAATGAAAAGGGTAAAAGAGTCATTTAAATTGTTCAGGGACCAAATCTACGGAAAGTTTGTGATTTTGGACCAATGGTGCAAGTTGAAAACTTTTTGGACTCCCTCCATATTTTTTTGTTAACCATAGGGACCAAATTTACAGTTTAGTCTTTAATCATTAAATATGAGTTTTCTACACATGATTCAAATTCTAAGAGTAAATTACAGATTTAGTCCCTATGGTTTATGTAGATTCGCACTTTTGGTCAAACCTTTGGAAAATGGACAAGACGCATCCTTGTGGTTTCACAGTCTTGCAGTTTTGGTCCTTGATCCATATAAATAGACTATATTGCCCTTTCTAATTTCTTTTTCTAATTTCTTTTCCTCACTTATAAATTTTGATAATATAAAAAATAAAAAATGTCCACCACACCCACCCACCCCCCTCCCCACCCCGCCATAACCCATCATGTTCGTCTTTATATTCACCATCGAAAACATTCCCAAAGCATTAGTCATCACTACTTCATCTCCCACCACCATCAATCAACACCACCACAAGAAAATCGGAACACATCTATTTCAGTTCGTCTCCTCCATCTAGTCACAAGGAGATTCAATAGCGATGATCATGATTGGTAATTTTCTCCAAGAACACAAGAAGACGAGGCACACACGATTTATTTCCAGTAAGTACTTCCCCTCCCATCGACTCTTTTCCCAATCTCCTTTTGAAACCACCCATCATCATCCCTTTGTCGTTGATTTATCACCTACATATCTCACATATCCTCTTGTTCCCTTTGATTCATCACCTTCATATCTCATTGATCCTCCGTTTCCCTTTCAGTGTCTCAACCTCTCTCCCTCCAGTGAGATGTGGATATCTCATTTCCATCGCAAATTTCTATTTCTAACCCTGATAACATACCAATTATGAATGGCTCATCGAATTAGACTCACATTGTCCAAACTCTGAAACTATCATATCCTCAACACTGTATCAACAATCTTCTCCATCTTCTACATCCTATTTTTCATCGTCGTCCCTCCCTTGGTGATTCCGTTGCTTTCTATAGTATCCAAACCTTCATCTGCTCCACCACCGCCAATATCAAACATCTACCAATACTATGATTTTATGTTGATTGGGAAGAAGGAAGGAAGAAATGGGAAGAAGAAATGTGGGATAGAGAGACACTTTTGAAAGGGGTGAAAGAAGAACAAAAAAGGAAGAAGAAAGGAGAGACACAGTGAGGTTGGGATGGAGGGTTAGGGAGGTGGGCCTAAAATATATTTTATACTTTTAAAAAGAGTAAAAGAAATTAGAAAGGGCAATATAGTCTACTTATATGGATCAAGGACCAAAACTGCAATATTCAGAAACCACATGGATGCGTCTTGTCCATTTTCCAAATGTTGGACCAAAAGTGTGAATCTACCTAAACCACGGGGATCAAAACTGTAATTTACTCAAATTCTAATGTACTATTAGAATGGAGTTAAATAACTCACTGATAGTGACTTAAATAATTGAGTATATCAAGAAGAAGACCTTGGAATTTCAAGCCTCTTTCTAAAGTAATATGTAGATTTTGTCATAGTCATGCGATGCACATGAAGAGAGTGGAGTTCACTTGGTCTCTTAAGTAGGGACAACGACATGTGGTTGATTAAGTAGTCATTTATGTTTGGTTTCTTAAGTAGGGGCCAATGTTCATAGTTTCTTTTAGTATGGACTTATACACTTAGTCACTTGAGTAGTGATAATATCATATTGATGCTTGAGTAGGGCCATTCATAGTTAAGAGGAGTCTCATAAAAGTTACATTAGAATGTTAAGTCGAGCATTTACATTAAACATTCATGCATGAATTTCATTGTTTTTATACATGTAAATATGTAATCTTTATCATTAAGATGTATTTAGGGTGTGAGATGTAGGGATATGGGGAAGGGAAAGAGTTAACTAAGGATGTGTAAAAGCCTTATTTAATATGTTCATTATATTTGGTATTTCGAAAATGATAGATGATTCGAATTCATGCTTACGTTGTTATTTTGAATGTGTAAAATAATCATTATGATTTTTTCATAGTCATAATATACACCTTTATACTCTTATTTTAATTGCACACATTTCATTCTATAAGGTAAAGCAAATTACTTGATCTCTATATATATCATTTCATAACAATATAATTATTTCAATATACAACAATTAAGCTTTTTTTTTTTTAACAATAGACCACCATAAAGTTGACCATTGTGAGATTCAAACTTCACATCCACTTCACTGTGGAATGTTTAAATCTCAAGTGAATATTTAAGTATAATACTATCTCAACCCATCATGGAACTTTAAGGGCCACTTCTTATTTCATGCAACTTTTATAAAGCCTTATTATATCCTCCTATAGTAATATACTTCCGAAACATAATTTTTTTGTTTATATTATAAAGTTTTACCTAATGATTTTGCAATGGATAACTCGTAAGATTCTCTTTTAGGCTTTTAACTAGGAAAAAAAAGTACAAAACACCATGCCATTTTTGCAATTTACTAAAAAGTAATATCTAATTATCTATAGCTAAAATCTAAAATGCATGCCATGGCGATGTCCGGTAACAATAGGAAGAATGTGGTGGAATCCAAAATCATTTCACGATTACGGGCGGGACATTCCATTTGAACATTCAGAGTCATACTCAGATCGCTCATTGTCAACAGCTCCGATCAATTTCCCGACCAGTGGAGCAACTACACGCTGTAACATCTTTCGATAATTTTTTCCATTCGATCTAAAACCTTGTGAATTGCCGGCGAAACCCATTAACATCTTCAGATCTACTTGCTTTCCATAACTTTCTTAATTTATCAATCGATCATAGCTTTTTTGTTCCACTACCCGACTTGATAATTGAAATTCTATATCGAGGTGTCCAATTCAGTGTCAAATTAGTCAAATTGGTATTTTAAAACCCTAGTTTTTTGGGTTTCTCGCAAAAATGCAGAGCTCGTCGACGAGCTCTGTCGCCCAGCCAAAAGCCATATTAGATTGGCTTCAGAAGGAAATGGGATATAGACCTCTAGGCCCTTACATGGCTTCGAGTAAGGCATCAATGCCATCATCTGACGCAATTCGTAGGGTTTGTCGTGGGAATATGATCCCTGTTTTTAATTTTCTATTAAAAAGGGTTAAATCGGTGAAGACGGTTAATGATATACGGCGTAACATCCTCGTCCATGGTAGAGAAGACAACGCTAGTGGCCATGACATTACAGAATCTAGCAAAAATGGCGAGGTTGGGAAAGGGACTAGAGGAGCAAAGAGGAAAGAGAAACCAAAGGGAAGGATTGAAAGCACGAATGCAGGGGACATCAATAACAGAGAGACAGCTCTACAGGAAAGAGATTCAGCTGAAAAGGAAGTGGAGAGGTTGAGGCGTATTGTGAGACGCCAAAGGAAGGAGTTAAAGGCACGAATGTTAGAGGTTTCACGTGAAGAGGCAGACCGCAAAAGAATGCTTGATGAACGATCAAATTACAGGTTTGTTGTACTGAAAACTAATCTCATTCTTAATGCGGAGTATAATACATATTCTCGTTCATAGTGTAGGCATAAACAGGTGACATTGGAAGCTTATAATCAACAGTGTGATGAAGCAATTAGAATATTCTCCCAGTATCATAAGCGTCTTTCTTCCTATGTTAATCAAGCAAAGGATTCTCAGAGACTGGAGGCTGATTCTTCCAAACAAGAAGACACATTTCTAAATGAAACGAACAAGGAAAGGAATATACGCAAGGCATGTGAATGGCTTGCAGTACATATGACAGAAAAGATCCATAATTCCTTTCCTGCATACGAAGGAATTGGTATTCATTCAAACCCACAACAAGAAACTGCCAAGTTAGGGATTGATGTTGATGGAGACATACCTGATGAAATCCAAGATGTGATTCATAACTGTCTCAAAAGTCCTCCTCAGTTGCTTCTATCTTTAATCACCTACACTCAAAAGCTGAAATCTTTAATTGCTAAAGAAACAGAGAAGATTGACATTAAAGCCGATGCAGAAACATTAAGGTACAGGTACGAGAACAACAGAGTAATGGATGCTTCCCCTGATGCCAGCTCACCATTACAGTTGCAACTTTATGGTAATGGTAATATTGCTTCAAAAGGAACTCAAAATCAACTTCTTGAAAGACAGGTATCTTTCTCTCTACTTTATACCCTTCACAACATATGCCATTTAGCTTTATTTATGGAAGCGAATGCATCTTCATGTTTACAGAAAGCACATGTTCAACAATTTGTGGCTACTGAAGATCAACTCAATAAAGCTGCAGAGGCTAAAAGTGCATTCCAGAAACTTCAACAGCGTCTGTATGGAAGTGATGATGAAGACTCTTTTTCACAGAACATGAGTAGTCTCAGACAGTTGGAGGTAATACAAGTTAAACAAGCCTTTCAAATGCCTCTTAATTAACTGTTTTCTGTTTGTACAGCTGGAGGTGTGGGCCATGGAAAGAGAAGCTGCTGGATTAAAGGCGAGCTTGACCACTTTGATGTCTGAAGTTCAGCGTTTGAACATGTTGTGTGAAGATAGAAAGGAAGCTGAAGATTCTTTAAAGAAAAAGTGGAAGAAAATTGAAGAATTTGATAGTAGAAGATCAGAGCTTAAGTTCATCTGTAACACTCTTATGAAAGCAAACATGGATGCTGCTGCATTCTGGAGTCAACAACCTTTGATTGCAAGAGAGCATGCATCAAATACCATCATTCCAGAATGTGGAGTTGTTATCAACATAACAAACAACACAAAAGATCTTATTGATAAAGAAGCTTCAGCCTTTTTTCGCATACCTGATAATACTCTTTACATGCTTCCATCAACTCCACAAGCACTGTGGGAATCCATGATTCCAAACGGGCCCACTGGACCTGAAGCAGTTGCTATTGCAGAAAAGAATGCCACTCTACTGACAGCAAGAGCTGGTGCAGGAGATCCTTCTGCAATTCCTTCCATTTCCCGTGTTTCTGCAGCCCTTCAGTATCCTGCAGGTATGTTCAATACTCTTTTTGCCTATATAGGCAATGTACTTTAGTTTTTTTTTTTTTTAGATTTTGTAAAAAAAAAAATTAAGTACGTTGCTATTTCCTGTAATTTAGGTGTGGAAGGTTCAGAAGCTAGCCTAGCATCCGTATTGGAATCAATGGAATTTTGTTTAAAGTTGTGTGGGTCTGAGGCTTGTTTATTGGAGGACTTATCAAATGCTATAAATATGGTCCATACAAAAAAGGAACTTGTTGAAAGTGGTCACACGTTATTAAATCATGCTTATCATACTCAAAAAGAATATAAAGGGTAATATATTAATTATTTTGTGTCTATATATATTTATAGTTCTTTTTTTGTACACCCTTTACATTATTTATATCTTTCAGGACAACAAATTACTGTTTAGATTTGGCTTCTGAACAAATGGAGATAGTTTCAGAAAAGTGGATGCCTGAGTTAAAAAATGGAGTTTCAAATGCTCAGAAATCACTGGAGGATTGCAAATATGTTAGCGGTTTGGTAAGCATCGATTTTTCCTTTTTTTTTTTAATAAAATCTTTAATCTTTTTTTATAAAGCTGAATGAGATGTAATTTTGATGCAGCTTGATGAATGGTGGGAACAACCAGCATCAACAGTTGTTGATTGGGTAACTGTAGATGGACAAAACGTTGCAGCTTGGCATAATCACGTGAAGCAACTTCTTACATTTTATGACAGCGAACTTCTGTAGCCTTTTTGCTTCATCTTTTTTTTTTTTTTTTTAATATATAATAATAAAATTATATTTGTAAGTTTTGGGTTTTGAAATGTACCATAACATTCATGTGAACCAACAACTAGCCTCATGGCTCAATACACGTTTGCAACCAATAGACAACCAAGAAATATACATGCATACAAATACAAACATTTGTATTATTTTCTAAGAGTTAAATCAGTAAGAACTATATTTTGACCAAACCATATTCGATTGACAAAATGATACGAGTTTCCTCTATAAAAAATTTGTGGTAATTCTATTCTATGCAAAGAGTAATGATTGTTTCGAGAATGTTGTCATGGGTTTGTCTGAACATAGTGTTGACCCTATGTTTGACTTTAAAAGTTGTATCCGAGGCTAACCCCACTACACTTGTTGGTATTGTTTATTGCGACACTTGCTTCAATCGAGATTTTTCCCATTCGAGTCACTTCATTTCGGGTAAGTCTTGTGTAATTGTTTTATGAGTTTTTTTTTTTAACTTATTGAGCTTACCGAGTTGTGCCAAAAAAAACATGGCTTAATATATTAAGACAATAACTCTTTACCTATTTGTCATCTTTGTCCTTAACTTTTCACAAATTGACAGAAGATTGTGAAATTTGTTTTTTTGGAATGTAAGGGTAAGTTGGTAAATGGGCCTAATAGATAGATTAGTTTAGAAAAGAAACAGAACTATTTATAAATCATTTTATCCATACATACAGACATTATTACTTGTTTAGCCACTTTATACACACAAGACTCGTAACTTGATGAAAAAAAGAAAAAAGAAACAGCCCATTACTTTTTTATTATGTAGACGGCAATGGTTAATGGTGATGTGGATTATGTGTTTAGGTGCATCAGTGGTGGTGGAATGTGGTGGGAACGGGGTTGGGGCAAGCGGAATGGAATCGCAATTCCGAGAGGAAGTGAAAACGAATTGGAAAGGCGAGTTTACAGTTAAACTGCCTTATGCGGTTACGGATAAAATCAGGGATTGTTCAGTTAAGTTGATTAGAAGTAATCAACCGGATTGTCCGGTGGTTGCCACATCAACTGAATCGTCAATTACACTCAAGGCAAAAACCCCGGGAAATCGTATTTTTTCAGCTGGGATTTTTACATTCCGGCCAAGGAAACAACCAAGGGAATGTCAAACGGGAACCAGAAACAAGAATTCCGACGATGGAATTAGAGCTGCAACACCATTCCCATCACCTATTGCAGCGGAAACAACAATGGACTATACTGATTTAGCAGACACAAATGCTTTCGGGCTACCATTGCCTTACCAGTTTCAACAACCTTCACCGGTTCCACTGTTTTCATTCCAGCCACCTTCAGCGATTCCGATGTTCCCATTCCAGCCACCACCGGATTCCATGTTCGTTCCTGATCCCCAACCACCACCAGATACAATGTTCACGCCGGATTTTCAGCCACCGCCTGATTCCATGTTCGATCCAGTGCCATTACAGCCACCACCGGATTCCATGTATGACCAATTCCAGCCGTCACCATCTACATTCACTCAGTTCTTCACACCGCCACCACCTCCACCACCATCATTCTTCCTTTCACTGCCGTTTCCACCAATCCAACAGCAACCAAATCTCATTCAATCTCCGCCCCCACCATCATTGCCGCCACCAGCATTGCTTCCACCATTCCCTCCATTCCCATTTCAGCCAAGTCAAGGGTTGCCTGGAACGCCACCAGGAATGTCTTCTGTTCATCTAGAGAAAACATCATCTCCTTGAGTAAGATATTTATGAGTATCATTGTACAATTTAAGACAATGTCTAATGTATGGCGAAACTGAGTGAAGTAACATGTTCTGTTTATAACAAAGAGAAGCATAAAACTTAACATTTGGCGAGAGCCCAAATGTATAGACAACATGGGTAAGGAAATAAAACAATACACAAAAAGTAAAGAATCTTAATTTAAAAGAATCATCATTACTGGAACAACAAACATACCTCTAAAATCATGTTAGTGGGAACGATCCTGCTATGTTAATCTTCCTAATTTACATCTGCATCATTTCAGTATGCTTTCCATTTTCTAACAACTCCATCAGAATTTTCTCTTTTCTTCTTTTCTTGCCATCCCTCAACTCATCATCTGTAGTAAACCAAGACATGGCTTCCAAATTTCCTGAGCATGTCTTGCTGATTTGAAACTTTAATTGCACCGAACGACTTCTTTCTACAACAATATCTTTCCTACTTTCCTCATTATCAGCATCTCTGCTGTTAAACCCATGAATCACAGGAGCAAATGTCCCCAATTCAGACAAATGTTTTGCCCATAAACTATGATTTCTGGCCACTTCTTCTTCCACAAGTCTAGCAGGAAGAGAAACCAAAGAAACCTCCTTCTCTCCATACTCTAGTGGAAATGCAAGAAAAGGATTATTCAGCAATGGCGGCCCCATGACCTTCTGATCTTGGTCAACTCTATCATGTCTTGTTTCAGTTTGTTCAGTACTATCTGAAGCCAAGGTAGTATACGTACTGGGATCAGGGAAACAGGGTAACCAAGGGGGGATATGATCCACTGGGGGTGTCTTTCCAGCATGAAAGAAACTTGGTATTGGATGCCGTTCTTTAACTACAGGAAAAGGGGGAATAGAATAGGCGAATCCTACTTCTTCAGAGACACCAATATACTGAGAAATCTCTTTTATAATCCCGGATTCTGAAAAACAATGATCAATGTCGGAAGCACCTGTAAATCCCTGTGAAAGCCCCAAATCTTCTAGCCCATGAACTATATCAAACATGTTACTTTCCGTTCTACCTGCCAAATTGGCATAGAAATTGGACGTCTTGCCAATGTCCTGAATATATTTGCAGGTTATGTCAGATAATGTATCAAGTGCGGACTGTTGAAACCCGCGAAACCCTACACTCTCACATATTTGGGCCACTGCAATTCGTGCGAGTGACTCTGTAAATTCGTCTTTCTTCGTCCTCTTCTTCAATGTAGAATTATTAATTCTTGAACTCTCTCCACCTCCTCCATCGCTCATGGTATCAACTTCATATCACTTCGTTTCCAACCAATTCAAGAAGAAAAGAAAAATGAAACCCAATTGCTTGAACCAACTAACAAAAATGATAAATCCTAATCCCTAAATCGCTCATATAATCACTACATCCATTCCACACAAAAACCTTGAACTTATTGTCATGACAAATCCGGTACACCGTACATTATCACGTACAAATGAACATAACAATTAACGAGCATGCGATGTAACCAATTTTTGGACTTACTAGTTGTACGTGTACGTTAGGGTTTCCGCGATTCAGTGAGTAATAAACAGCAAAATGAGATTCCAATCACATGACAATTGAAATGGATAAGAGAGGCAATTGATTAAAACGAAATCGGATCATATGGGTCGAATAAACACTCGAGTAAAACACCGGATCGGGAAAATGACGATCCGAGTTTTACACTGGAAGGCAGTGGACTTCTGGTCTCTGGATTTTATTGTAAGAATAATGGGATTTGGGAGAGTGAAGTGAATGATTGCTCAAGCCATCGTTTAACAACTACAATCTATATGTAAAAATATATTTTCCAATCAACTGCTTCCGTAGCATAGTGGTAGTGCGTTCGCTTCGTAAGCGAAAGGTCGCGAGTTCGATCCTCGCCGGGAGCTTTTTTTATCACATGATCACGTCTTTTGCATAAGCCAAATTAAAGCTTCATGTGTTCTTTTTAGTATCATTATTATATATGGAAACTTGTGTACCAAATACTAGAAATTATACCTTATTAAAGTGCAAATTTACTTAAATAGTATTAAGTGAATAGTTTCTTTTGTAAAAAGCCTTTTTTTTTTTTTTTTTAATATTAGAAGAAAATATATTGATGTAGCCGGGTTAAACATATTTGGTCCGGAACAAAAGAAAAAAGAAAACTTAAAAAAAAAAACACAAAGACATCCATCAAAATTTAATCATTAAAGAAAAATATGTTTTCTAGCTTTTTTTTAGATACAAAATTATTGATAGTAATATAAAGATCAACCTTGCTTGATATATATTTCTCCATCGACTCTTTTTTAGTTGGAATCTATTGTTTATCAAAGAACGTCCAAATTCATATGATCATAAATATCTAAAGGAAGAGACAAATGATCTTCCAAAAAAAATGTTATCATCATTATACTTTAAACCATCAGATGTTAATTTAAACTAATATCTCGTCATTTAAATTATTTAAATTATTTAAATTATTTAAATTATTATTACGTTCGTTCAAATTAATATTTTATCCATTAAATTGGTATCATCATATGCACATTTGACACATTATAATAACTCAATGATTTAATAACTTATCTATAAATCCTTTTTGAGATTTTATTATATTTCCAACCATTTTTTTGTTGTTGTTTTTCCCTTTTTTTCTCTTCAATAAATTGTTTTCAGGAAACACCGAAACATTTTAAAAGAAATATGATAACATAAATCTAGTAAGAAAAAAAATCTTAAACACTAGAGGCTGAAAATTTTGGAGTTGACATGGATCTTTTTGTGTGTTTTATCGTTAATGATATGGAACTTTTTGTGTGTTTTATCCTTCAACGTTTCAATCTTTTATAATTAAGATATTTGATTTCTAACTAATGTGACTTTGGGATTAAACGTTGAGTCTTGGACGACCTATTTTCCCAAGTCCCCAAATTTTTATCATTGTCGCCCAACTTTTGATTTGGATTTTTGGGTTTTGACTATGATACAACGTGTAACGACCCAAATTTTCTACACATGCATCTACAAGATTTTCTCTACAAATGCAGAATTTTACTAAAATTAAAACACTTTACATCTCACGTTTAATCACGTTTTTACGATAAAATATATTTATTAATTAGACAACAAGGAAATAAAATATATTATGTGTCTTTATGTTCATGTCTTCTCACGTACCACGACTGCTATTTAAACCCACACAACATGAAAATATCTACTACCACGTGTCTGGTAAGTTATATTCTTATATGATTTCATATTTCATCTAACTCTTCTTCTTTATCTTTCTCTATCTTTCCATATTGTATTCTTTCTTTTTTACTTCTTTCTAATACTCTACAATCTAATCTCTTCCTCTTAATATCATAAATTGTTATTCTTCTCGTTCATCTATCTCTTCTATCTCTTTCTCATCTTTACAATCTACTCTTGCTCTATCTCATCTTATCTATCTCTTTATCTTTTATCTCTTCTCATGCCTTACCAATCTATTCTTTCATTCTCATACTTTATCTTCTATAATATTTTCTTTTCATCTCTTCTCTTTCTTAGTCTATTCTCAGGCTCATATATTACCTTCTCTTATCCCTTTCACAGGCTCATCTCATACTCTACACATGTTCTAACTTCTCTTTCTTTCTTTCACATACTTTATCTAATCTAGTATTTCTTTGCTCTTCTCTATACTTTATGCATGCTCTTCTTTATCTCTTATTATGTTTTTCTCATATCTCTGACTCTTAGCATGTCAGTCCCATACTCTTCTTGTGACATCCCCATTTTTACGGTCAGAAAATACCGATTTCGTTTATGCTTTTTAAATAAAAATCAGAGTAACATCTTAAGAAAAGTGTTGCGGCATTTGTTCCCAAAACAAAATATGATATAAATTTTATCAAAGCATTTCTTAAAGAAATGTATTTCCATTACATTGCAAAAACTCGGGATGTCAATCATCGATACAGACCATAAGCATAAACTAAAAAGAAATAAACACCTAAGGCCACAAAACACTATCTGGCCTCAAATCCGTAATCTCTCGTCAAATCATCCAATTATGCTTTTGCAACTACCTGTAATACAAGAAACTGAGTGGGTCAGGCTGGGGAGCCTGGTGAGCATATAGGGTTTTCAACCCACAATAATAAGTTCATTATTTATTTTCATCAAATTGCTAACCCGATTACCCGTTCCCGTTATCCTCACTTTACGTCCCTAAAGCATCTATTATAAGGGACCTATCCTAAGGAATTTCATCGGGATGGACACTACTGCTCAGGGGATTCCTCTGCCATATGTGTCCGTAAGGCAACCATAGGGGGGGGGGGGATGGAGTACATCTTCAAAAACACCTACAGGTTGCGAGCCTGCTAGCGTCCCACTGGACTGCCTACAAAAGTCAGTGGTCGTCATCTATACTCCGCTAGACGACTGGATCATCTTAAACATCGTAAACATCGAGGCCTCTCATCATTTTAACACACATCATCTATTTCATCTACCCATTGTTCTACCCAACATATTTGTAGATACAAAATACATACATGGTCCAGATCTGTAAAACAAAGCTTACATCTTTCATCCAACATACTTTCAAAGCATAAAATATTTATACAGTCTAGATCTGAAAAATAATGTTTACATCTTTCATCCAACATGACTTTCAAAGCATAAAATATATATACGGTCTAGATCTGAAGAAAAAGTTCAGATCCGAAGGAAAGAAGTTCAGATCTTCCATCTAAGAGAAAAGTACACAGTTTAGATCTGAAGAAAAAGCTTAGATCTGAGGTGAGAAAGTGTAGATCTGAAAGAAAAAGTCTCATATCTGAAAGAAAAGTCTTAGATCTGAAAGATAAAGTGTAGATCTGAAGGTAAAAGCTTCAGATCTGAAAGAAAGAAGCATAGATCTTTCATTCAGCAACATCTCAAGTAAATAGCTAACATATACCTATACACATAGCACATAAAATACTTCATATCTATGTGTAAGATGAAAGTGACTATACACTCACCTGATACAGAGTGATTTGGACAGCACCTCGCTTCTAAAAATAATATTCTTTGACGAAACCGGGAAGTTTGCTTGAAAACCGGGCTCCACGCGGGCAGAGTTTCAAACCGAAAAACTCTTTTTTCTCGGAGACTCCGGGCTCTCCGAGGCTTTATTCAAGTGCTAGGGAAGTTTCCTAGGCTTTTTTTTTTGGGGGGGGGGGTTGGGGAGTTAGAGAGAGAGTTTAGAGAGAGAAAGTGAAGGTTAAAGGTGTGAGAGAAGTGTTGAACCCGACACCTCTATTTATAGGCTGTGAAATGCTCTACTCGACGAGTTGGTACTTCTACTCGTCGAGTCTAGGCTAGGTGTCACCATTCTGGTGGCAGAACGTGGGTGGCCTACATTGTGCCACGTCACCCCTTTTGCAGCAGCACCCTGCCGACTTCTAAACCCCATAACTTTCGCATACGAGCTCCGTTTTCGACGTTCTTTATATCCACGCGTAGGTAAAAACAAGATCTACAACTTTCCTTTTGACTCCATCGGCTAATTCTCGACCGATATTAAATTTAACAGTAGGAGGAGATTATACTGTTAAATGACCGCGTAAAATTCGTAACTTCTTCATACAAACTCTGTTTTCGTCTGTCTTTTTATCAATGAGTTCCCATTAATGAGATCTTCAACTCTCATTTAGGTCGCGTAGGCCAAAAACCGCTCGAACTAAAATTCGAGTTTCGGGTCGTGCACTGCTATGTCGAATCTTAGAAAATTCATAACTTCCTCATACGAAGTCAGATTTTGGCGTTCTCTTTATGGATGTTCTCGGTTTAACATATTCTACGACTTTCGTTTAGATTACTAAGGCCAAAAAGTCTTCTATCGTAAATTCACTATTTACGCTTCCCGGCGCCGTGCCAGTTTTGCCGTAAAACTTCGACGGGTCATAACTTCTTCGTTATAACTCGGATTTCGGCGTTCTTTATATCCCCGGAATCCTTGATTCGACCATTACAACTTTATGTAAAGATACCGGGCTTATATCACACTTTAATTTTGACGCTTATTTTTATCCTTTATTAATTATATCTTTATAATTAAGTATAAAGCACATAAATTCACATAATTCACGTAATACTCAAATAATTCATCTTTATCGCTTCAAAAAGAGTTACAATAGTTGACCTAGACTATTGCATCATCTACTAATGCCTAGCCCCGAAACACGGGCGTTACAATTCTCTCCCCCTTAGGATGATTCCGTCCCGG